GGGTCCCTGGCCTCCGTCCCCTATCGATGGGGACTGGGAGGAGTCACTCTGCACCACCGAGGCCTGTGATGTCAGGGCACAGGGCACTGGGATTGCCACGGGTGGGGCCCAGATGCCCAGACGTGAGGAACCCACCATGGAGGGAGCATTCCCCTGGGCTTGGTGATACGCCCACAGAGTCCAAAACAGTCACTGCTCCAGGTGTTGCCACTGCGATGGCCAAGACTGCGACAGGCCCAAAATGCTGCCCTAGCGATCATGGTGCTGAGAGCGAGAACTGCGTTGGGACCTAAAGTGGTGCCGAGATCCAGAGCAGTGCCAGGACCTGGATCAGTGCCAGGAGAATGAATGGTGTTGGGAGTGGGAAACCGGTGCCCTAGACCACACCCACTCCACATCGGCCTCCGAGGAATAGTCAGACTCCAACTACTGTGGAGCCAAAGCCGGGCCCAGGGAGCGGTACCGCTCTGCATGCCAAGCCAAAGAGCCGGTGGCAGCATTAAGTGTCCCACTACCATGGACTGGACCACTGGGATCAGAACACTGGATGCCTAATTCTCTTTGGACTCCTGAGAGAGGGAGCTTATAGGCGCTGAAGGTCCCGACGGTGCCAGCATTGACGTTGAGTGCTGGGGAGCGTGCCACTGGACGGGGCACCAGTGCTCGGGGCACCGCAGGCCTGTCTTGGTCCAGCACTGTGGACGGAACATGGTCCCAAAGCTGGTCCTGGTGCTCCTGAGGGGGCAAGGGTGAGTCAGCAGTCAACTCTATCAGTTCCCGCGCCACCTCGAACATATCTGGAGTGGAGGGTCTCTCAACTGGAATGGGCTCCTCCGTCATGCTGTGGCCCTTGGGTGCGCTCGACCAGCCGCATTCAGTCCCAGGAGCAGTGACCCTCATTGCCAGAGCAAGTGCAATAGGGTGAGAGTGCAGGCTAAGCCGGGCCCTCCTCTTCTTGCAAGGCACCAGGGATTGCGACAGGTTCCACACTGCAGGATGCCTCGAAGCTGATGAGGTTCCTGACGAACGCAGTGTCTCCCACACCGAGGGCGGTGTGCTGCGGGACTCCAGGGCTGCATCCACTGCTGGACAGAGTGCAGTCTTTCACGCTGAATCCAGGGCTTAAAACTACAGCAGATTCTGCAGTTAACCGGAACATGGGCCTCACCCAGACACTTCAAACACGACTCGTGTGGGTCTCCACCTGGCATAGGTTTTGAACAGTCAGTGCAGGGCTTAAAGCTGTGAGGCCCTGGTATGCCCTGAGAACCTGGAGGGAAGGGGATGCAACAGGTGAACCCAACAACTTATCTAACACTACCTACACAAGTACTTAACAGGGAAAGCAACTTGAAGGAAACAAAGGGAATCAACTAAGTGCTAACTACGCTAAAGGGAGTTGGAAGGGGAGGTGTTAGGGAAGGACAGGGTGTAGGAATGGAGGAAGGAGGAGGGGGTAGGGATAGGCAGTGTGGGGAGGAGGAGGGGTTAGGAAGGATGGGTGGGTGTAGGAATGGAGGCAGGGAGATGGGGGTGTAGGAATGGAGGATGGAGGTGGGGGTAGGGATGGAAGGAGGGGGTGAGCTATGGGTCATGGAGCTCCAGGCTCCTCCTCTTCCTCCCCACCCCCCTGCAGTCTGGGAAGCGGGGAGAGAGCCAGGGTTGCCTACCGGCAGAGAGAAGGGGGTTGGTGAGCATAGTGGGCAGGGGGGTCTGCCCCCTAGTTCTTTTTTAAAATATTAATTACTAATATGACAGAATTAACTTCTGTTTGTACCAAAGGGATGTTTTAAACTTTTCTAAGTTTAGTAATTACACATAATAAACTAATGAAATTAGCTGTTTGCTTTGCCTGTTTTGTTTTTGATCTTTGAGTATCGCTAAACAGCAGCTGAGGGAGCTTTATTGCATTCCAGCTAGCTATAAAAATGATCAATTTCTTCAGAGAAAAAAACAGCAGAAAAATATTGTTACTTATCAGAAGTCCTTTCATGAAACCATTAACACAATAAGATCCTGCCTACAGGGCAATTTAGGCCAACACCTCAACTCCCCTACACAAACTGAATAATCAGTGTAAGCAAGCAGTTAATTTAATCATAGAATCATAGAATAATAGGACTGGAAGGGACCTCGAGAGGTCATCGAGTCCAGCCCCCCGCCCTCAAGGCAGGATCAAGCTCTGTCTACACCATCCCTGACAGATGTCTATCTAACCTGTTCTTAAATATCTCCAGAGAGGGAGATTCCACCACCTCCCTTGGCAATTTATTCCAATATTTGACCACCCTGACAGTTAGGAATTTTTTCCTAATGTCCAATCTAAACCTCCCCTGCTGCACTTTAAGCCCATTACTCCTTGTCCTGTCCTCAGAAACCAAGAGGAACAAATTTTCTCCTTCCTCCTTGTGACACCCTTTTAGATATTTGAAAACCGCTATCATGTCCCCCCTTAATCTTCTTTTTTCCAAACTAAACAAGCCCAGTTCATGAAGCCTGGCTTCATAGGTCATGTTCTCTAGACCTTTAATCATTCTTGTTGCTCTTCTCTGTACCCTTTCCAATTTCTCCACATCTTTCTTGAAATGTGGCGCCCAGAACTGGACACAGTACTCCAGCTGAGGCCTAACTAGTGCAGAGTAGAGCGGCAGAATGACTTCACGAGTTTTGCTTACAACACACCTGTTGATACAACCTAGAATCATATTTGCTTTTTTTGCAACAGCATCACACTGTTGACTCATATTCAACTTGTGGTCCACTATGACCCCTAGATCTCTTTCCGCCATGCTCCTTCCTAGACAGTCGCTTCCCATCTTGTATGTATGGAACTGATTGTTCCTTCCTAAGTGGAGCACTTTGCATTTCTCTTTATTAAACCTCATCCTGTTTACCTCTGACCATTTCTCTAACTTGCTAAGGTCATTTTGAATTATGTCCCTCTCCTCCAAAGAAGTTGCAACCCCACCCAGTTTGGTATCATCTGCAAACTTAATAAGCGTACTCTCTATCCCAATATCTACATCATTGATGAAGATATTGAACAGTACGGGTCCCAAAACAGACCCTTGAGGAACTCCACTTGTTATCCCTTTCCAGCAGGATTTAGCACCGTTAACAACCACTCTCTGACTACGGTTATCCAGCCAATTATGCACCCATCTTATTGTGGCCCTATCTAAGTTATATTTGCCTAGTTTATCAATAAGAATATCATGCGAGACTGTATCAAATGCCTTACTAAAGTCTAGGTATATGACATCCACCGCTTCTCCCTTATCCACAAGGCTCGTTATCTTATCAAAGAAAGCTATCAGATTAGTTTGGCATGACTTGTTCTTCACAAACCCATGCTGGCTATTCCCTATCACTTTATTACCTTCCAAGTGTTTGCATATGATTTCCTTAATTACCTGCTCCATTATCTTCCCTGGGACAGACGTTAAACTGACTGGTCTGTAGTTTCCTGGGTTGTTCTTATTCCCCTTTTTATAGATGGGCACAATATTTGCCCTTTTCTAGTCTTCTGTCTAGGAAGGAGTATGGCAGACAGGGATCTAGGGGCTATAGTGAACCACAAGCTGAATATGAGTCAACACTGTGATTCTGTTGCAAAAAAAGCAAACATGATTCTGGATGCATTAACAGGTGTGTTGTGAGAAAGACATGAGAAGTCATTCCTCCGCTCTACTGTGCACTGATTAGGCCTCAGTTGGAGTCTTGTGTCTAGTTCTGGGCACCACATTCCAAGAAAGATGTGAAGAAATTGGAGAGGGTCCAGAGTAACAAGAATGATTAAAGGTCTAGAGAACATGACCTATAAAGAAAGTGGGCTGTGGGTTTGTTTAATTTAGAAAAGAGAAGGGGGTGGGGGGGACATGATAGCAGTTTTCAGGTATCTAAAAGGGTGTCATAAGGAGGAGGGAGAAAACTTATTCATCTTGACCTCTGAGGATAGAACAAGAAGCAATGGGCTTAAACTGCAGCAAGGGAAGTTTAGGTTGGACATTAGAAAAAAGTTCCTAACTGTCAGGGTAGTCAAACACTGGAATAAATTGCCCAGGGAGGTTGTGGAATCCCCATCTCTGGAGATATTTAAGAGTAGGTTAGATAAATGTCTATCAGGGATGGTCTAGACAGTATTTGATCCTGCCATGAGGGCAGAGGACTGGACTTGATGAACTCTCGAGGTCCCTTCCAGTCCTAGTATTCTATGATTCTATGATAGTCTAAAGGACTTGCAGATACTGCTGGGAGCATGGCTATGAACAAGCGAGAAGGAAGCTCCAACAACCGTCACGGGCGGTATGAAGGAACTGAGGGAGTGGAGAGCCAGCGGGGATAAATATGCACCGATATAGCAGCCACCACTCCAGGGTTCTCCCCGGCTGGCCCGATGGGAACCACTAAGGGAAAACTCTCCGACAATCCGTGCACACATCTAAGTGGAATGGACACAAGCAAGTACTCAAAGAAGAATCTCCCTTACAAACAGACATGTACACTGAATGTATTGATCGCTCTTAGTTTTTTTCTAGTGCTTTTTTCTTGCCTAAATATCTCAACATGGGTACTACAAACATACTGATGAAGTAACCTACTATACCACTTCTGACTGGTGTACTTTATTATAGGCAATACTGTGATTGTCTTAAAAAAGTAAATCCATTAACACTGTAAGATGTCCAAAGTCATGTGTGGTGGTCTTGAGCTATCCACATTAAATGTGATGTAATAAATCCACTAAAGAAAATGCATTTCTTCAGATTTTCTATTTAAATATAGGAATATAATATATTTATATATAAGTAAATGACAGAATATTTGTTTTAAAATTAGAGTTTGGTTTTCTTTTACTACATATTCTTAACTAAAATGTTCTAGATGGTCCAACCTGTTTGGGTTCTGTGCTAGTCTGTACATTCAAAAAAATTTAAAACCTTAAGTAATAGAAACTATTCAATAGATAAATTTGAGATCTAAACAATATTTATATTTACCTTCAGAAAAGGTACTAGATATGGCTGAGGAGATGATTTCAACTCTGACTGAAGGCGGCCTGTAAATTCTTCTGGATCAATCTTTGCATCCTGGAGGGGAAAAAGAAAAAAATAACTATTTGGCATTTTTCTGTTTTCTCAAAGAATGTAGTAAGACAGGATAATATTCGGGAAATATTTATATATCTCTATAGATAACTCTCAAATCAACAGGAACTTTTAAAGTTCAAAGTCCCTCAAACTCATCCACTGTTATAAAATCCTTCTATCGGGAATGTGGGTGTGAGTGTGTATGTACGTATGTACACCTAGGCTACGTCTACACTGGCCCCTTTTTCGGCTACTTTGAAGTAGGAATAAGAGATCCTCCGGAATAGGGCTTTATTCCGGAGGATCGGGCCAGTCTAGACGCTTTTTTTCCGGCTTTTCCCCAAGCCGGAAAAAAAGCGGCGGACATGTTTATTTAAATCCGTGGGGGATATTTAAATCCCCCACGGATTTCCCTATTCCCACTTTCAAAATTAGCATGCCCCTTCCGAAAAAGGGCCCAGTGTAGACGTAGCCAAACTGTGCTTCACAGAACTCAGGAATCTGTGACCTTTATGTATGCAACTCCCTCAAGGATACACACTTAAAGAAACAGTTAAAGCCCACAAACATGAAAGTCTTTATTCAATATTTCCATTCTGCCGATAACTTTCAGACAGTGATTTATTTAAAACACTAATCTAAAAACTGGTGTTTAAAAACAACCTTGGAAAATCATTACACATTTACTAGCCCTCGCATAAAATCTGTCAGAATAAGAACAAGATATTTTACTCAATGGTTAAAAAACAACATCCAGATTGGTGAACAAGTAGAATTTCCAACATCTGATTTAAAAGAATTAAATGTACCAGTATGTGTGTTTATTTGTGAAGATGAAGGATCTACTGAAGCTAAATAAGTTTTTAATGTTTCTGAAACTATCATTAGCTAAAAACTTTTACAGGCTGTCTAAAGATACAACTATCACACTCTTGAACCTCCATGCGGTTAATATAATATAGTAGGGAAGCAACAAAATATACCTGCTATATTTATTTTTCAATATTGTAAACATTAACGCTTTAGAATTATTAATTTTCAAAAGTTCAAGCTAATTTTTATTGGAACCACTACTATTTTTGTTGGCAGGCTCTCACTCCATGTGACTGGGCCCCTGTGCTTGTGGCTTGATTTGGGGAGACCCAACACTGTCCCTGGCCTAATTCTGCCCCTCAGCCCCTGAGAGGGAGATGCAAGTAGTCCTTGATGATCAATTCATAACCATCATCATCTTTCAGGTCTACATTCTGATAGGCTAAATTAACTGTTTTAAATAAAAATTTTGGCATACACAAAGTATGTGAACTTGACTATTTGTCAAAGCCTTTGATAAAGTCTGTTTGCTGTGTGTAGCTGTTCCATAATGTACACTGAAACATTTGTAGTGCTGGAGGCAGTAGTCCTTGATGATCAATTCATAACCATCATCATCTTTCAGGTCTACATTCTGATAGGCTAAATTAACTGTTTTAAATAAAAATTTTGGCATACACAAAGTATGTGAACTTGACTATTTGTCAAAGCCTTTGATAAAGTCTGTTTGCTGTGTGTAGCTGTTCCATAATGTACACTGAAACATTTGTAGTGCTGGAGGCTACCATAAGTCATTTTTTCTGCAGAACCAATCACATGGATTCCATATACCAAAAGCACTATTTTGGCCAATATTAGGAGTATAAGAGAGTAGTCAATTAGTCAACTACGCCATAAACTTAAGCTTATCAGGTAGTTGAGTTGACTACTCACTTTCTTACCCTCCTCCCCTTTGCTGCCTCTATATCAGAGGCTGCAAAAGGGGGGGGAGCAGGAGCCAGTTCCCCCCAGCACTGCCTCTGCTCCTCTCTACCCACTGCCTCTATCAGAGGAAGCAGGGAGAGGGAGCAGGGGAGGCTGCTCTGGCAGCAGCCCATGGCCTCAGGGGATCCCAGCAGGAAGTTGGGACCCTCCACGGATAAAGGCTGCTACCAGCTGGGCAGGCAGCCCTGATCAGTTCTGGCTTGCACCACAACCAAACCCTACTGCAACTGCAATTTAAAATGCAGTAGGAGTCAGGCAACCTGCCCCCTAGCTCCTGATGCGCTTTAAACTGCACACACACAGTGTGGTTTGGTCCCCAATCTGGCATGAGCAGGGACTGAGCTGGACTGCCTGCCCGTCTGGCTCCTACTAAATTGTGGAGCCAAGTGAGCTAGCAGCCCAGCTCAGCCCCTGGTTGCACCAGGTTGGGGATCAAACTGCACTGTGGCTCTGAAATTTAAAATGTAGTATGAGCCGGGGGCAGACTGCCTGCCTCCTACTGCCTTTTAATTTACGGAGTTGCAACAGGGTTTGGTCCTGACATGAGCCAGGACTAAGTGGGGCTGCCTTCCCCTATCTAGTAATTGAGTAGTCAATGAAAATTCTATTGACTAATCGATTACTAAAACAACATAAATTTAACATCCCTACCACACATCATTTAAGTGTGGAATTTTTAAAATCCACAGACATTCAGGCTAGGGATGTGAACGACTAGTCAGCTCTCCGATAAGCAAATCCTAATCGGATAGTCAACAGGTTAGTCAACTAGTTGCTTCCCCCCTCTCCTTGCTGCCTCTATCAGAAAGAGGCAGCAAGAGGGGGGGAACAAGAGGGGGTACTTCAAAGCAGCAGCACTCTTGGAGCCTGGGATCAGTGGAGGAGTCCCCAGCTGATCCCAGACTTCACAGGGTGCTGCCGCGTTAAAATGCTGTGGGGGAGTCCTCAGATGGTCGCAGGCTCCACAGGGCACTGAATGCTTTGAAATGTTGCGAGGGGTCTGATGCCAGGCTCCCTGTGATGATTCAAAGTGGCAGCACCCCTGCTGACTCTGGGCTCCACACAGCACTTCAAAGGCGGAGGAGCCCTATCGACTTATCGAATAGTCAATGCAAAATGCATCCACTATTCAATTAGTCGATTACTCAATATTTAACAACCCTAATTCAGGCCCCATTACTGCAAAAAGACCTCAGGGATCTGCTTGCAGAATCTTGGTCTTAGTCATGTCTCAGAAAAAGTGTTTTAGTTAGTCCCCTCCTTATTCTGTAATCTGCTCCAGAAAGGAGGATCCCTACGTCGATATCAAACCTAGATTATTTGAATGGACTTTAAATGTCACATAAGAGACCACAGGTTACAGGATCAGAATGACAAAGCATTCTAAAAAAAAATATTTAAAATATTTCTAAATAAACGTTATCAAAATATTATTCATCAAAACAAGTGTGTTGTTCATCTTTATTAAATATTGTGACAATCAGTATTTTAACCCACTACAAAAGAAAATACAACTTAATTAACAATGAAATTGTGAGGTTGTATTCAGAAATCCATATTACTTTTTATGCAACACTTTTGCCTTTTAACACTGAACTGCAAGCAGAAGCTAAAGATAGAATAGTAACACATACAGCAAAGATTTTCAGCCTGTATAAATGGCATGCACAATATACAATTAACAACAGCTTAATATTTACCAGCAAATCCTGAACCAGTGATTTCACATTATGGGATGTTTCTGCAGAAGGTGAGTTGTGGGAAGCAAGTTTTATCAAGGTAGCTAAAAAGTTTTTACATTTCTTCACATTCTCTTGCATTTCCTGTTTTTAAAAAATTAGATACACGTAATATTTTGATATTGTTCACTGCGTCACCTAATAATTGTACATAATGAGAAAACTATAACTGTTCTTATCCAAATAAAAGCCATTTGAGAAGTGTCTTCAGTTACTTGGCTATTGTGCTGTAGTTTGGCACTCTCACTTCATTTAATCACTAATAGTCATACGATAGCATTACTAACAAAATTAATCACAGAAATATTTTTATGTCTGATGTAGTATCATTCATTATATCCTTCATCGTTCATGGAACTGTAACCCTAAATGATGAAAAACCATCATGAAATATGTAAAAAATCCACACGCTTATTGAGGTGGCAGATACTAAATTCACAGTTTCTCTTTACTATTTTAACTTTTTAAGTTACTATTTTAATATAATATCAACTGTACAATCAATAAATAAATACATTTCAAATACTATCATGTCTACATACCACTTTATTTTATCAGTTTACATATGCTCTAATCCTAAACCACCATGAACTTTCAAATTAATGGTCTTCTGTCTACTGAGGACACACCCACTGATATTATAGAACAACATGAATAGATGCGTGGTCATTATAAAATTGGAGGCCAGCAGTATAATTAGAGATCTATTTGTTCCAATTATAGAAATACACATTACACTGCATAACTCTTGGGCAAAGTTGGCCAATTGTCAGTTAGTTAAAATGTGTTCTCTACAAGATGTTATGGGAATTGGATTGGTGGGACAGCTCTTCCTGGTATTAAATAAAACCGAAAAGCACGCACATAAGCAAGAAACAATGCCTCTACTAATATTTTCAACATTCAAATGTTCCAGAACTTAGACACAAACCTGTGATACAACTGTAGTCCCTGGTACAGGAGAGCTAGGTATGACCTGGGGTTGTGCTGGTACTTGTGCTGTAGTATAAGGTGGAAGTGGCAACTGAGGCTGACCTTGAGGCTGTGCTGCTGTTTGAGTTTGTCCTCCAGAAATTACCATAGGTTGTTGAGTTGCTAGGGTTCCAGTTGCTACTGTTGTTTTCATTAAGTTCTGAGCATTTGTAGTAGCTCCCGATACCTGATAACATTGTTAATATAAAAAACAGATTATTACCTTCTTTAAATTTTTTTATTTTACAATAAATCTTTAAAACCTCAAAATTGCCAACTTACAATTGCCTTCTACTGCTGAATTTAGCAGTTTATTGCAACAACAAAATATTCTTCCTTAAGGTAACAATTTGAGGGCCCAACTGTGTCACACCTTTCTCGTGATTTTTTTACTCTTTGAATGGTCCCTTTAATTTCAATGGAACTATTCAAGGAGAAATGTATTTTTAAACATGAATATGAGTGCTGTAATCTGGTTCTTTCACATTAGAGAGCATGAGGGGCAAATTTACCATTAGTATTAGTGTGTGTAAATCCAATGGCAGTGAGTTTCACCCTCACTGTATTTGGAAAATAAACTTACAGGTAAACACATTTTTTTCTGTTGGTAACACAAGTAATTTATTAATAATTATCACCAACATTCATTTAGAAAGCCTTACCTTTATGACTGGTTGCATTGGCATTAGTTTTTGTTCATGTTGTCTGGTAACACTTTTAATACTTACTGTAGTGTGTGACAGAGTGGAGCTCCCTTGTAAGCTCACAGTAGATGTAGCACTAACTGATGTAGCAGTTGATTGTACAACTTTGGCTTGCATTGGAAGTCCTATGTGGACAGCAGATGTACCTACAGAAGTTGGTTGCTAGTATAATAAGAGAAACAGTGTTAAACACACACATTAAATTACTGCAGATGCAAAAAATACAAAGGTTCTTTCACACAGTAATGAAATGAGTATCTAATAATTAATCTCTACAGTTTACAACAAAAAGCAAATTTCCACACTTACAGCAAGATAGTTTCTTTAATTCATATACAGCTAAAAAATGTCCAGGTTTTTCTTCATCCCTATATCCATTACATGTGAGAATATAAGCAGCAGTATGTACCATTTTATTTTGAACTAATGTTTCTTATTGCTAAAAGCTAGGAACATTACTAAAGCCTCTTAATATCTATATATAATACAGCAGAACATAGGGAAAAAGGACAAACTAAAGGTTCCAGTCCTACAGATGACAAAATTTCTGTTAAAAGAAAATTATTAAGAATGCAAAGTCAAACATCCAAGTTAGGAGATGCCAGAATTAAGTTGCCTGAGCAACCTTACCTCAGCTCCCTTCTGAATATGCATTATGATTAAGGCTACAATTTATTCATGGGCATTTTTTGTAAGTTTTGAACAGGTCATGGGCAATAAACAAAATTTTGCAGCCTGCAAAATGTCCATAACTTTTACTATAAATACCCTTGATTAAATCAGGAGACAGCTTGAAGAGGGGTGAGACCAGCTGGGGACTGTCAAGCAATAGCTGCTCTGGTTATTTTCTACCCCATTCTAGTACTGTTGGCATGACATAGATGAATGCTTTACTGTAGTTAAACACTGCATAGGTGTAATTTAGAAAGTCAAAATGCCTGAGAACTAAAAAAAAAAATGGTTGTAACTGACTATGAATCCCAGTGACAACGCACCCTTGAGTTATTCTAAACATAAAGAGATTTCAGCCATTACTGTAACTGAGTCCTTCACTTTAGAGCCCTGCACAGATACAAAATTTATATCCAGCACCTGCAAAAATGATCCACAGATACCTGTGGATTTGCAGGGCTCTACTTCACGTCACACTGATGCCAGGTATTCTAGGCTTCAAAGATGCATATAGAATGACAAGCCTGGAATCTATTATACAGATCAGGAGTAGCGTGTCCAGCTCACAACAGTAAAATATGGGGACACACTGGGGCATTGTTGGCCCCTCCCCCCCCCCCCCCTCGGCTGCCATTGGCTTCACCATTCATCGCTTCACCTCCCCGGTCACCCACTGCCTGCCTCCTCACCTGAATATTGTGACAAATTGTGTCCCAAACATAGACCAGTTGGGACACAGAGTAAAGGGTTCAATATCAGAACATCTAGTCATCCTAATAAGTAATTCTCAAAGGTTTTTTTTTGCCCTCCAGTAAGGATGTAAGTGACTAGTCAACTACCCGATAAGCCTTACCCAATAAGACTAGTCAATACTCAACTAGTCACTCTCCCGCTCCTTGCTGCCTCTGCCTTTGAAATGTACAAGAGCTGCAGGCTCTTGTACATTTCAATGGCAGAGGCACAGTGGGATAGTGAAAGCCCCTCTTATGGATTGGTGGGACAGCTCTTCCTGGTATTAAATAAAACCGAAAAGCACGCACATAAGCAAGAAACAATGCCTCTACTAATATTTTCAACATTCAAATGTTCCAGAACTTAGACACAAACCTGTGATACAACTGTAGTCCCTGGTACAGGAGAGCTAGGTATGACCTGGGGTTGTGCTGGTACTTGTGCTGTAGTATAAGGTGGAAGTGGCAACTGAGGCTGACCTTGAGGCTGTGCTGCTGTTTGAGTTTGTCCTCCAGAAATTACCATAGGTTGTTGAGTTGCTAGGGTTCCAGTTGCTACTGTTGTTTTCATTAAGTTCTGAGCATTTGTAGTAGCTCCCGATACCTGATAACATTGTTAATATAAAAAACAGATTATTACCTTCTTTAAATTTTTTTATTTTACAATAAATCTTTAAAACCTCAAAATTGCCAACTTACAATTGCCTTCTACTGCTGAATTTAGCAGTTTATTGCAACAACAAAATATTCTTCCTTAAGGTAACAATTTGAGGGCCCAACTGTGTCACACCTTTCTCGTGATTTTTTTACTCTTTGAATGGTCCCTTTAATTTCAATGGAACTATTCAAGGAGAAATGTATTTTTAAACATGAATATGAGTGCTGTAATCTGGTTCTTTCACATTAGAGAGCATGAGGGGCAAATTTACCATTAGTATTAGTGTGTGTAAATCCAATGGCAGTGAGTTTCACCCTCACTGTATTTGGAAAATAAACTTACAGGTAAACACATTTTTTTCTGTTGGTAACACAAGTAATTTATTAATAATTATCACCAACATTCATTTAGAAAGCCTTACCTTTATGACTGGTTGCATTGGCATTAGTTTTTGTTCATGTTGTCTGGTAACACTTTTAATACTTACTGTAGTGTGTGACAGAGTGGAGCTCCCTTGTAAGCTCACAGTAGATGTAGCACTAACTGATGTAGCAGTTGATTGTACAACTTTGGCTTGCATTGGAAGTCCTATGTGGACAGCAGATGTACCTACAGAAGTTGGTTGCTAGTATAATAAGAGAAACAGTGTTAAACACACACATTAAATTACTGCAGATGCAAAAAATACAAAGGTTCTTTCACACAGTAATGAAATGAGTATCTAATAATTAATCTCTACAGTTTACAACAAAAAGCAAATTTCCACACTTACAGCAAGATAGTTTCTTTAATTCATATACAGCTAAAAAATGTCCAGGTTTTTCTTCATCCCTATATCCATTACATGTGAGAATATAAGCAGCAGTATGTACCATTTTATTTTGAACTAATGTTTCTTATTGCTAAAAGCTAGGAACATTACTAAAGCCTCTTAATATCTATATATAATACAGCAGAACATAGGGAAAAAGGACAAACTAAAGGTTCCAGTCCTACAGATGACAAAATTTCTGTTAAAAGAAAATTATTAAGAATGCAAAGTCAAACATCCAAGTTAGGAGATGCCAGAATTAAGTTGCCTGAGCAACCTTACCTCAGCTCCCTTCTGAATATGCATTATGATTAAGGCTACAATTTATTCATGGGCATTTTTTGTAAGTTTTGAACAGGTCATGGGCAATAAACAAAATTTTGCAGCCTGCAAAATGTCCATAACTTTTACTATAAATACCCTTGATTAAATCAGGAGACAGCTTGAAGAGGGGTGAGACCAGCTGGGGACTGTCAAGCAATAGCTGCTCTGGTTATTTTCTACCCCATTCTAGTACTGTTGGCATGACATAGATGAATGCTTTACTGTAGTTAAACACTGCATAGGTGTAATTTAGAAAGTCAAAATGCCTGAGAACTAAAAAAAAAAATGGTTGTAACTGACTATGAATCCCAGTGACAACGCACCCTTGAGTTATTCTAAACATAAAGAGATTTCAGCCATTACTGTAACTGAGTCCTTCACTTTAGAGCCCTGCACAGATACAAAATTTATATCCAGCACCTGCAAAAATGATCCACAGATACCTGTGGATTTGCAGGGCTCTACTTCACGTCACACTGATGCCAGGTATTCTAGGCTTCAAAGATGCATATAGAATGACAAGCCTGGAATCTATTATACAGATCAGGAGTAGCGTGTCCAGCTCACAACAGTAAAATATGGGGACACACTGGGGCATTGTTGGCCCCTCCTTTATTCACCTGCCTCTGCCCCCACTCTGTCCTAACCCCCCACACATGTTCCTCCCCATACGCCTTGGCCACTGATCACCTTCCCCACCAGCTGCTCATTAGTTCCTCTACCTGCCACTTACCTTATCACTCTCCTACCACTCACTTGCTCGCCGCCAGAACCCCAACTCGCTGTTGGCCTTCCAACTTGCCTTTTTCACTCACCCCACCTCTCGGCTGCCATTGGCTTCACCATTCATCGCTTCACCTCCCCGGTCACCCACTGCCTGCCTCCTCACCTGAATATTGTGACAAATTGTGTCCCAAACATAGACCAGTTGGGACACAGAGTAAAGGGTTCAATATCAGAACATCTAGTCATCCTAATAAGTAATTCTCAAAGGTTTTTTTTTGCCCTCCAGTAAGGATGTAAGTGACTAGTCAACTACCCGATAAGCCTTACCCAATAAGACTAGTCAATACTCAACTAGTCACTCTCCCGCTCCTTGCTGCCTCTGCCTTTGAAATGTACAAGAGCTGCAGGCTCTTGTACATTTCAATGGCAGAGGCACAGTGGGATAGTGAAAGCCCCTCTTATCAACTAATCAAGTAGTAGATGGAAATTCCATCAACTATTCAATTAGCTGATTAATCAAAATTTGACATCCCTACTCTCTGGTCACCCAGCTCTAAGGCAGCACAGAAGGAAGGGTGGCATTTCTTAATTTTGTATTTTGCAACCTTAAGAATGTTATCTAAATGTAGTTTGTGTATTTTCCTAAATATGTTTAAATTGCTATATTAAGAGTATTCCAATTACATAAATTGTAGAATTTACATATACCAGCAGTTAATATTTTTCTTTTAGAAGAATTACATATCCATGGTGAACAAAGGACAGAAAGATGGTGTAGTCTTGACCTCACAGAAAAAAGTGTTGTCAACCCTCTGATACTGTACCTGTTGGTCTCTTTACATGCCAACTGCATTCTTTTCAGCGTTCAAAAAAGGCTAAATTTCCTTCTCCCGGGCATATCCAGATACTCAAGGAATATTTTTTCAGTTGTTAGGACATGGGAGAACAGAAGGTGATGCTTTTTAAACAGATGTAATTTGGGATCTTTAAACATGGACAGTAATTCTTTAAATATAAATCAAAAGACACAAGTGGAAAAAAGGTCCAGTTATTCAGTGTGGAAAAACACTGGATATGGGTTATTTTCACTCTTCCTGAAACTAAATTTTAGGATTAGGGTGTTCTTGTCTATAAAGATAAGCCATAACAAATTCAAAATGCTCTGCAAAAAGAAGATATGAACACATTAACATCTGACTACATAGCACTTAGTATTATCTGAAAGTACATTAAGGCTCTCAGAAATTTAATTCTCAAAAGTGATGGGTGAAATGAGGTTTAACTCACTCCAGAAAAGCAATAGGTAGATTACTGATGACCAAATATTCCCAAAGAAAACTTGATCAATAGTGTCACACGGAGGGCAAATATCACAAAGAATTAAAATTAACAGTGAAGATTTTTCAGATCCTTGTGGACAGTTTTAGTTCTACATTAAGTTTCACTGACACAAAGGCAGTTTATTAAACACATTAACATTAAGAAAAAAAACAGCAAGCAAATGGTCTGGTAGCACTTTGAAGACTAACAAAAGATGTAGATGGTATCATGAGCTTTCGTGGGCACAGCCCATTTCTTCAGATGACCGGTCATCTGAAGAAGTGGGCTGTGCCCACAAAAGCTCATGATACCATCTACATCTTTTGTTAGTCTATAAAGTGCTACCAGACCATTTGCTTGATGTTTTTTTTCTGAAACAGACTAACTCGGCTACCCCCTGAAGCTCATTAACATTAAAGTATGTTTTCATTTAAAGAGATTATATATATATGGGCAAAACAGCAACAGACTCCGTGTTTAATAATGCATGTAGATTTTTTTTTAATAAAAAAATCTTCACTGGTGGTATACAATGGAACTGTAATTTTACCATCAGTTTCAGATTACTTGAAATCCCTCCCCCCCCCCCCCTTTTTTTTTTTTTTACTTTTTATTTATACATGTAGGAAACAGACACAGATTTCAGGGCTACAGAGAGTGCTCCACTCCTCTTACACACTGTCTGTCATTCATGCCACTTATAAAGGAGGTAGGTACAAAGATCAGGAAATTTGGCTTAACACATTCAAAAACAAAGCTCTGAACTACATAAACTGAAAATGTAAATAGACAAAAGAAGTTATCAGTGAAAACTAGATGGCAGCACCCACCTACTTTTTAAAATTTCAAAACTATAATACTTCAAAATTTAGGGTTAGTTAATTTAGGGTTAATTAACTCTAATCCAATGTTAATTTCAAAGGCTGAAATGCAGTAGCTTTAACATATTTTTAAATACTCTGAAGATTATAATAATTTAAGTAATTTACAAGGCAAATAAAATATTAATGCTTGATTTATTTTTCTAAAATGGTAATATATTATTTCAAAATAGATCAGTAATGAAATTAAAACTTAATGGAATTAGAGATTATGCTTTCTCAATTTATAAAAATAACATATCTAAACTATAACCTACAGGCTTTGAAAATTCTATAATGTAAATCACTGTTAAAATAACTAAGTATCACAATCTCAATCAGAGAACAAAGGAAGAATTACATCAAATTCATTCAGAAACATGGAATAAAAAGAATAGAATATTGTACAGATGTTTTGACAAGGGATATATACTAAATGCTTTTCCAGTTTCATTAGAATGCTTTTTCAGACCCAATAACATAAATCAGGCACAAAGCATTTCTATTATAATCAGGTCAGATGTCATTCTCCCCCAAGGGCATCACCTTTATGATGCAGATAAGCTCCACAAGACAACAATAACTATCCATAAGGATAAAGCTATATGGTAAGAGAGAGACACAGGAGCACAGATATAAAATCAAAAGAAAAGACAAACTCTCCCCCTACTGACAGGAACATATAAAAATGTTAAAAATTCCCTGTAGTATGTTATTAGAGGAGTGTTAAAAATTGCAGTCAACATAAAGTGATGATTTTCTTCCATAATTTTAAAATCAGATTTAAATTAACATATTAAACTCCAACAATAGTTTAATGAAAGGAAAACTATTTACTTTCTAACATATCAATTTTTCAGCAATACAATAAAAGCTTAGAATTTAATCATGAGAAATGTTAACTGCACCAAGTCAAAATGTACTTATTTCAATACTTTATTTCAGTTAAAAAAATAAGTGGCAATGTACGTTCACAAGATGATTACAATTCTAATGTAAACAAACTATGCATATTCTCTCAGAATTGCTGCTTCTGCAATCTTGACATTCTTAATTTTATTTTAAATAAATTGTAATTTATTAATTTGTACTTGTATTTATATGCTGCACATCTTTCTGTAATTTGTTCTCGTGCTCCATATTCTCTCCTAGATGGGAGCTAAATTTACCCAGAGATGAGTGCCAACCTACAAAGGTTACTGCTGTTCTGTTGATCCTCTCTTGCTAAAAGTATAGCTCCACCTGGAGCAGTTTTCCAGACTTTTTCTTTTTGAAATGCAGTTAAATGAGCTCTTAAAACTTGCAATTTGTTAATTTCCTTCACAATGGCTTTACAAGTAGCTTCAGTTTCTTGAACAGATTTTAAGTTACTGATGTCACCAATTAACAAATGTAATGTACGAGCAGTACAAGTGTACATAGCAATGTGACTGTATTTTTCGTTAAGCATTGATAAGGATTTCACCATTGCTGCAGCATTATCAGTGATAATTTTTCAGTGCCTATTTTTTCTGTCATTATTTCTTCCATACGGAATGCCATAGACTCAGCAGTATGGCGTTCAACACCTGTTGCCACTGTCTT